TTCCTTCCTTCCTTCCTTCCTTCTGACAGTGTCTTGCTCTATTGCTGTGTTGCCCAGGCTGGAGTGCAGTGACTGCAGCCTCCTCCTCTCGGGTTGAAGCGATTCTCCTGCCTCAGCCTCCCAAGTAGCTGGGACTATAGGCGCCTGCCACCACGCCCAGCTAATTTTTGTATTTCTTTTTCTTTTTATTTCTTTTTTCTTTTTTTTTTTTGAGATGGAGTCTCACTCTTGTTGCCCAGGTTGGAGAGCAATGGTGCAATCCCAGCTTACTGCAACCTCCACCTTCTGGGTTCAAGCGATTCTCTTGCCTCAGCCTCCTGAGTAGCTGGAACTACAGGTGCCTGCCACCATGCCCAGCTAATTTTTGTATTTTTAGTAGAGACAAGGTTTCACCATGTTGGCCAGGATGGTCTTGATCTCTTGACCTCGGGATCCACCCGCCTTGGCCTCCCAAAGTGCTGGGATGACAGGTGTGAGCCACCATGCCTGGCCCTAATTTTTGTATTTTTATTTGAAATGGAGTTTCACCATGTTGGCCAGGCTGGAGAATTGCTGCAATAGTTTTTCAGCTGGCCCCTGTGCTTCCTCTCTCTTGCTCTCCTCCCTTCTCATCTGCACCTAGCAGCCAGAGTGATCCTGACACTCTCAGTCTTTACTCCCTCCTTCCTCAGAGCATCAGCCTATCAAAACACCAGATTATAACAAATTTAGTTTCAAGGTCTCAGCATTATTGGCAACTCTAGAATCAGGCGATACACTCATTGAATCAGGAACAGATTCACTACATAAAATAGAAAGAGTATTCCAATGAGCTGGGTGGAAGAAGTTAGTTTTATAGACAGGAAAGGGCTGTCGAAAGCAGGAAGAAATGAAGAAAAAAAAGAAAATTTTTTTTTTTTTTGACACAGGGTCTCACTCTGTCACCCAGGCTGAAGTCCACTCCCACAATCATGGCTCACTGCAGCCACCACCTCCTGAGCTCAAGTGATCCTCCCATCTCAGCCCCCCAAGTAGCTAGGACTGCAGGAGCACACCACCACACCTGGCTAATTTTTATATTTTTTTGTAGAGACAGGGTCTCACTATGTTACCCAGGTTGGACTGGAACCCCTTGGCTCAAGCAATCTGCCTGCTTCAGCCTCCCAAAGTGCTGGGATTACAGGCGTGAGCCACTGTACAGGGCCAGACTGGTCATTTCAAAGTTACTTTCTATATACGGCTGGAACAGAGTGTTTGACATCAGTTTACTTTTTAATGATGATTAAAACAGGGGAAACTTCATTATCATGAGCTTGGTTACTGTCTGCATTATCACGTCAACTGAAACTGTCATGTTTGGGAATTTGGCTGTTAACTCTGTCTCCAGGAGTCTCAAAGGTCAGATAACAACTTAGTTTCGGTTTGAGGAAATGGAACTTTCATACAACAGATTCCATTTTGGTTCGGTCTGGTCAGCTGGGACCTAGTGCAGGAGCTTAGTCCAAACAATGGCCTCCCATAGTTTTTATTTAACAAGCTCAACTCCTTACGGTAATCCTTTAAGGCCTATGTGATCTGTGATCTGCACCCGCCCTGGCTACACTCTTTGCCCTTATGTCCACCAGCCTCCAGTGCTCCAGACACAACTGATCTCAAACACGCCTGACACATCCCCCTGGGGATTCCTCTTCCTGGACTGCCCTCCTCTCAGCTGTCTGCTTGGCTCACTCTCTCACCTCCTGAGGTCTTAGCTCAGATCTCACCTTTCACTCACCTGTCCAACCTATTTAACACAAACTCACCCATCTCTGATGCTCCTGATCTTCCTGATGCTCTATGTTTTAATTTTTTCAATAGCACTTATTTCTTTCAGACGTTGTATATGTTTTTCCTATTTGTGAGGGTCAGTGCTACTGTCCCCACCCACACTGTCCCAGGTGAATTCCACAAGGTGGGGATCTTGGTTAGGCTCACTGCTGTACCCAACCCCCTAACACAGGGCCTAGTGTGTAGGTTTTCAGAAAGTGTCTGTTAAATGCACGGGTGGAGGAGGAAGCATTTTCCTTCTGGCATTGCTGGGGAAAAAGAGCCCAAGGTCCTCCACTCACCAGGGTTCCACATTCTCTGTAGTCCAGCTGGGAAATACTATTAAAAGGACCATTCTTGTAGCCTTGATGGTGTCCCCAGCATCTGGCAATCAGGAGGGTCTGGAAGTGCTCTGCCCAGGGAATGTCCCAGGACCATGTGCAGTCTGCAGAAGGAGGCAGTGAACACGCTTGGCCTGGGCCCCATCTCAGGAGCCTTCAGATCTCCCTGGGACCTGCACAATCAAGTCCAAAATCTTTGTCTGATGTCAAGGCTAGCGCTTTTGCAAATAGGACCCCATACATCTTCCAGCCCTCATACTCCTCCATTCCCTTTTCATTTCCGGAACATTTCAACTTCTATGCCTTTGCTCTTGTGGGCACCCTCATGTAATCAGGATAGTTTCCAGCCAGGTATTCCCTTCCCTTGTTTTATAACTGAATCTCACTTTCTCTGGGACACCACTGCTCGGTCACTCTGCCTTGTGTTTTGAGAGGAGGTTGGGTGGAGCATGGGACATGGGTCAGTTACTGCCTTCACATTTCCCTGGTCATGGTGAATTTTTTAGGGGTGGGCACGTGACCCAGGCAGAGCCAATGAAGTGCGATGTCACTAGAACATGCGAGAAGAGAGGCATGAAACTGAAGCTGAGAGGGTTTGAGATCTGGAGCTACTCCTTCCTCCACCCAAACTTCAGAAGGTGAAGGAGATAGCGCATGTGAGTGAGCAGATCCTGAGGGCACTGTTTGAGCCTCAGAAACAAAGCACCTCTGAAGCTCGTCCCAATCTTGGATTCGACAGTTACAAGAACCAATAAATTCCTTTCCATGTGGAGTCATGTTGTTTTGTTACTTGCAACCTAAAGATTCCTGACTGATATACTGTGCCCAGTGCTTTTCTCTTCATATCTCTAATGTTTGGCATTCTCCCTGCCCCCCGACACATCCACTGAGAAGCCTTTCCCCAGGGAGCTACCTGCCCACATGGCATCTCTCTTTCTCGAGCTTCTAAAGCACTCAACTGCTCTTTCCACCTCATGGAACTACCTGGTGCAACCTGCACACGTCCCACCATGTCTGCCCTGCACAATTGAACGTGGAACCTGGCACACAGGAAAGGAAACTTTTTGGTGGATGGAATGGAGGGGAGGAGAACAGACGGCTGGGTGAACATAAGCTCCATGAGAGCAGGGACTTTGCCATGTGTAAACTCTGCATCCCCTGTGCTTCAATACATGCTCAGAGTATAGTAGATTCTTTTTGGAATGAATGGATAAGTTTTTTTTGTTTTTTTTTGTTTTTTTGAGTCAATGGCTGATAGAGGATTGAACAGGCAAGCAGTATTCTGCCCGCTGTTTCTTCTCCCGCTGTTTCTTCTCTTCCCCTGAGCTTTTGATGGCGTAGTCATAGCACATGTGTCACGTGCCGTCTGGTGGTCTCTTGATGTAGCACAAGTTGCCCTGTGCCTTCCCCACATCCAGTCTCTCTCAGCTCTGCCTTTAGTTCTCTCTCCTCAAGGCCCCCAATTCCCCACCATCAGGAAGGACTCTGAGCTTCCTAGTTCCCTGGGAAATGAAGCTCTAGGTCTGAAGGTGGATATTTGTTTGAGGATGCGGAGGATGGAATTCTACTTCAGAGCTCTGGAAATCTTGTCCTACAAGGAACTTCTGTTTGTTTGCCGGCCTGGCTGGTGAGATATAGCCTGAGCTGTACCAACAGGGTCTAGGTGCTCGGAGGCCCTGACTTTGTGCCCATGATGCACAGAGAGGATGTCAGGCAAGGGACACCCAGCAGGGCTTGTCACACCAGCCTTGGTGGATTTGTGTGTGTCTGTGTGTCTATGTGTCTGGGAAGTATGTGTGCATGTGTCTGTGTTGCTGTGTGGGCTGTGCATAGTATATATGGTTGTGTATGTGGTTATGATGCAGCTGTGTCACTGTGTCCAAGTGGGTCTGGTTATGTGCCTGCAAGTTTCCTATTCTTTCTTTTTTTGAGACAGAGTCTTGCTGGAGTGCAGTGACATGATCCCAGCTCACTGCAACCTCTGCCTCCCAGGTTCAAGCAATTCCTGTGCCTCAGTCTTCTGAGTAGATGGGATTACAGGCATGAGCTAATTTTTGTATTTTTAGAGACAGGGTTTCACCATGTTGGCCAGGTTAGTCTCGAATTTCTGAGCTCAAGTGATGTGCCCACCTCGGCCTCCCAAAGTGCTGGGATTGCAGGCGTGAGCCACTTCACCCAGTCCTATTTGTTCTTTCATGCCTTTCTCTATGTATGTGTGAGTGTGTACTTGCTGCAAAAGGCAAGAATATAGCAAGTAGTGCCCTGAAGCCTATGTCCAAAGGAGAGGGCAAGGGCTAGCTGCAGGTACCTCATTCTCTGTCACTGTCTTAGGTGCTATATAGTTTGAGAGCAGCTCGGCAGCTCTCACAGCCCAGGCCAGGATAAAGCCCTCTCCATCCCAGCCTTACTTTCTGGTCTGGGTCTTGGTTCCTCCTGTTGCTGTCTGTCTCCCCAAAGGCCTGACAAGGTCTGGCTCCCTAACTGCACTGC